CAGGGGATTCCTACTAAGTGGCAGGTGACCTCCCACTGTCCTCGCCACACAGATGTATTATCTAATGCTGGAGACAGCTGCCTGGACCTCCCCTTGAGTGACACTATGGAGGTTTCTCTGACACAGCAGTTTGTGCAAGTCGGATTAGTGTTCAACCTGCATTGTTGGACCAAGGGCACTGAGCCAAGGACAAAAGAAGCAGAACACAGAGAGAGCCAAACCTGACGCCCGAAGTTCAGCCTGGGTATCTGTCTCCAAGGAAGGTTCCTCTGCTCTTTTCTGGGACTGTTCTGACCAACTTCGGAGAAAGAGGTGTTGCCTCTGTTTAAAGTCAGCCAGAGCCCACTCCCTAGTGCTTTGGAGCAGCCAGCTGAACTCTGGCATCTCCTTCTCATTATGCTTTAACACTCTGCCAATCAGCTCCACCCTAGCCCTTGAAGACAACCAGGCTACTGCCAAAGGCTTCATCTTTCCTAACCACAGGCCTCACAGCATCCCAGGGCCGCCAGCCCATAGGTCCCACCAAGTCCACAGGCCTCCCTGGAACACTGCCAAAGGGTGGCTGCCATTGACTTTGGCACTGAATTCATTACAAATGTTGCTCTCCTCTCCCTGTCTCCGTGTTCTCCTCTTCAAGGACAGGGATCAGGACCTCATCATGCCTCCATGCCCCATGGCACCCAGTGTAGTGCTGATCACAAAGGAAGGTCTTAGAAGTTGTCTGTCAAATAAGCAAGCACATGCATGAACAAAGGAATGTGTTTATTACCACCAACCAGCTGAGTCAGGGTGCTGAATTAGAGTACTTAGTCCCCATGGTAGAAAGTGGAGGGTGGGATATCAATACCCTCAACTCTGGGAACACAACACCCAACCCTACAGTGATATAAGGATACAGAAGATTGAAAGGCAGCCTCAGGAGAAGAAAAGAGGTCCTTTCAGGGCTCATCAAGGGAAAGTGAGCACAAGGAAGACGGGCTATGGCTCCTCTCCATCCTGCTACTATGGCTGTAGAGCATAGGAACTTGACCAAGGGTTTTCCATGGATACACTTGGGCTCTTGGACCTTTCCAAGATCCACCTGCTGGGGGCCCCATTTCTCCACTACCAACCCTCTGTCTTTCTGAGTCACTTCACAAGTCACCATCCAATCCTCAGTATGAGACCCTGAGGCAGAGACAATTGTGCTAAGACTCGGTAGCCAGCAGCTTTGGTTACTCCCGAGTCAGTGTGAAGGCCTCTCTACCTGGAGGCAGCTCCTCACTCCTGTTGTCATCTCCACATGAGGTCCAGGGTCTCCTCCTCTGAGTGTACATACCAGCCAGCCACTTCTGACTTCCAGATCCACGGGTCCCATGGATGGAGAGCTCCATGGGAGCCCATCAGCTGCTGCAGGAGCACTTTTCCCACTTGAGGAACAACTCAATACCTTTGTCAACAAAGACTTCTTAACATTACCCTGGCAAGTCTCGGTCTAAATGGAATGGGGATGTATAATAAGAGTAATAAAAATAGGATAAAAAATCTATTAGAGGATAATTATTTATAACTATTCTCCCTCTGAAGGCTTTTGAGGATAGGAAAGGTGCTGTTTTCTAAAGGCTGACCAGATGTAAGGCAAGACTAGCCCTCTGTAACAAACAAATCCTACAGTTCAGTGGCATATACAGAACAGTGTTATTTCTTGCTCATGTTTATCCAATCAAGCATGAATTGGTGGCCTCCTATGTGATTATTCATGGATCAGGGGCATCCAAGGTCTCAGAGTGCTTTGCTTTTAGCTAGCAGACAAGGAATAAGAAGATATAGGAGACAAACTCACTTCTTAATCATTTTAGCCTGGAAATTGCCCACATCACTTCTGCTCACCTCCCAGTAATGGGGACTAGTCACCCTAGGCCATGTGGCTGTCCCCAGGTACAAGGGGACTTGAGAAATGTAGCTGCTGGTTAGAGAGCCCTCTGCAAGAACGACTTCTTATGAAAACATAGCACAGATCTCAGAAAAGCAGCTAGCTGTCTCTGATACAGTGAAATGATGATTGGCAGGGAATGGGCTACATTTCTCTGCCTGAGAAAGACATGGAGCTTAGAGGGTGTCCAGATTATAAAATCCCTGAGAGAAGGTGAAGGGGGTGAGGAGGAGAACCACTTTAGGATAAATCGATTGGAGCAGCCACAGCCCAGTATAGGACTTTGGAAAGAGACCATCAAGAAATGTTGCTAAGAGCTGTGCAGTGTGATTTCTCCCTTATCAAGCCTTAGTGAGGATTTTGGGGTGTGGGAGGGCAGAGGCTAACCTCCGGGTTATTGAGTTAAATGGGTTTTAAAACAATAGACAGTGGTAATGGCTGAAGAACTTTGTGGATACACAAAAGACTTCTGAAGTGTTCATTTTAAAAAGAATGGATTTTATATGTGAATGACGTCAATTAAAAACTATGAGAAAAAAGAGCAATAGCTACCACTTCAATAGCTACCACTTCTTTTGCATGTAACCATATTTCAGCAATCTCCAATCCTTACTTCAACCTAAAAGACATGTATTAATGTCTCTGTTTTACAGATGAAAACATTGAGGATGTCCGAGGTTAAATGGCCCAATGTCACACAAGTAGTAGAGGCAGAATTTGCCACCCGAGTGTGCCTGGCGTTGAAGTTGACTGAATTCTTTCAGCTGTCCCTCACAGCTCTCTAGTAACAATACCAGACAACTTTTTTAAGTGACATGTGTTATGCCAAGATGCCTTGTCATTTCTTCTTCATCAATTGAGGACCATCATCTCTTTCAAAGTTGGATTCAAAGGTAATTTTTCCATGAAGTTTATGCCAACTGATTCCACTACATGACTTTGTCAAAACATTGATTGTGAGCAACTTCATCCCTTGGACAGGAGGCTGCCTGCTTTAATTATACCAGTACTACCCAAAGTGTCCTCCTTCGACAGGTCTAATCTGAGAGGATTTTTATCAGTTCATGAAAAAGAAGAAAAACAGTGAGTGTAAGCATTTAGAAACTTTTATAGCAATCTTTTGTTGCTGTGACATTCACTTACATAATCAGTGGGGTTCATAGCTTATCTTTTTTATTTCTCTTTTCTCATAACTCATTTTTATTATATTTTACAAAAGAATCAGTCTGCCACAGATTGGAATTTAGAACAGAACAACAACAACAACAAAAGATCCAGTACCACAGATAGTCTGAAAAACGCTGACTAGACCAGAGGTCAGTGTCTTATGACCTATGGGCCAAATCTAGAGCACAAGCTAAATTTTGTAAGCAAAATTATATTGAAACACAGCTGTGCCCATTCATTTATGAATTGTCCATGGTTGCTTTCATGCTACAACAGCAGCACTGAGCTGTATCAGAGACCATATGGCCCATAAAGCCTAAAATATTTATTATCTAGACCTTTAAAAAGAATTGGCTGATCCCAAATCTAGACCACTGGTTTTCAACAATTTTTATACATTAGGAACCTCTGGGAGCTATTTCAAAATTACTGATGGCTAACCTCTATCCCCAGAGATTCTGATTTCATTGGACTGGAGGGCAGTATGTACAGGTAATTTTAATCTGCAGCAGAGTTTTAGCACTGATGATTAGATCAGTAACTTTCAACTCTGGGTAGGAATCAGAATCACTGTGCATGCCAGGGATCCACTCGAACACTTCTGAATCAGAATTCTGAGGAATGGGGCCCAGGGATGCTTGAGTAGTTTTTGAGTGAATCCCCCACAGGTAATTGAGATGGTTACCAGTGGTTGAGAACCACTCACTGGTTTAGACTCAAGAGCAATGATTTTCAAAACTGCAGCGTGTCAGAATTACATGAAGAAGGTGCTAAGATTCCCCAGCTCCACCTTGGGTCAGCCCAACTCAGTAGGTCTGAGATGGATGTGACCAAGGAATGTGTAGTCTGAGCAAGCCCTCCAAATTATTCTGGAGTAGGGGGCATCCTTGGCCCACACTCTAAGGAACACTGCCTTCAGCACAACAAGCACTTGGTTTTTGTCCAGGTTCCCACAGAATGACTTAGACTCCATGACTCATTTTTTCCTTTTGAAAATCAAAAAGAATAATCCCTCCCGAGTTTACTTTTCTCCAACAGCCCAAGTTCTGAATATGCTAAAGTATGTGAATGTGCTTGTTAAAGTGAAGAATAATGCATGTAGAGAGACACATTTACTCTTCTTGAGAGATAAATGGCTGATAATATATCTTGTTCTATCTCCAGAGGAATTGACATTTATTCCAAGGGAATCTCCAGGGGTAGAAATCATGCAGCTAAAATAGGCTCAGAGGAGGAGATCTGAGTTTTTATAGGACTTTATCTGCATCCTTTTATTCATGACCATGTGATAATAATAAGAAGGAGAAGAAGAAAAAAATGTGTTATCTTAAACAATTCACAGATTATTTCAATTAATTCTCACATCAATCCTTTAAGTTAGATATTATGAATATACTCATTTTAAAGATGAGAGAGCTACAGCTCACATGGGGTTAAATAATTTGTCAAAAGTCACTGAGGGTGAGTGAGTATGTGTCAGCACAGGGACTTAGGACCCACGTTGTCAGACACTAAAAACTACCTCCTTAAGCACCTGACATTCTATACTACGCCTATGTTAAAACCACTTTGACTGGTGTCTTAGTCCATTTGGTCTGCTACACCAAAATACCTTATAAACAATAGAAATTTATTTCTCATAATTCAAGAAGCTGGGCAGTCCGAGAACAAAGCACCAGCAGTTAGTGTCCCGATGACAGCCCATTTTCTAGTTCATAGATGTCCCCTTGTTCTGGTCCTCACATAGTAGAAGGGGCAAGACCATTCTGTGAGGTCCTTTTATAAGGCACTAATTCCCTTATAATTTAATCACCTCACAAAGGCACCATCCAATAGGAATACTATCACATTGAGCGTTGGAATTTCAACATGTGAATTTTATGGGGAAAAAAAAAAAGTTCATACCACAGCAATTAGGAAATGGAAGAGAAGGATCCCCCAATGCCCCTCAGTCACCTATAGGCTCCCTTTTGTGTAGTATTTTCTCAGAAATCTTAACTGCAGTGACACATGCCCTGTGTGTCCTTTCACCCCCAAGTTCCCATGCAGGCAAAATGTAGGCTTTGCATAATACAAATATCCTCAGAAGGACTTTCTTTGTCATCGAGCTGGTTGCCATATCTGAAGTCATCCTGTGACCTAACCTTTAATTACTTAGCATCTGTCAGCAGCAAACAGAGTAGAATCCTCAGTGAAGAGGAAGAAGCAGAAGCACAAGAGAGGGGGGATAAAAAATTACTGCGTGTTCCCTCCCACCCCGCAGGGAGAACATGACAAGACTAGGAACTCAATACTCCTAAAGATTGTGTCTGCAACAGTAGAGACCAGGCCTGGGGCAAGAGGATCTGCCCTATGATTCCTCTGAGCGGATCATCTACTTGATTGAGTCCAGATGAAGGGAATTCTGCAATTTTAGGGAGAAGGAAATTCATGAACTGAGATGGCATAGAGAATGGACCAGGCCTTTAGTTCATAAGATTATGGATCAGTTTAGGGTTGGCCCAGTTGTAGCTGTTGGAGGATTGATAGCAGCTGCAGGGAGAGGCAACTTTGTTCCAGTCCAAGTCCCAGGAAAAGGGGGTTACTAAAGCAGAAATTGCCATGCACTCATGGGTCATAACCCTCCCTATTCTCCTTCTCCCCAGTTCCCTTCTGTGTCCCATTCTCTCAAATCCAAGGGACAAAGGACACAGAGACACCTTCCTCACCATGCATTCTAATATTCCCTCTTCCTGCTCCTCCCATTCTCCTGACCAGTCCCTGCTGCTTTGGCAGAGTGGCCTGCAGAGCATCAGCCAGGCCGGGGCTGTTGACCTCCTGTTGATTACTGCCCTCCTGCTCAGCCACGCTCATCAGTGTTCCCCAGAGCGGCCCAGAACCCTCTGTTAACCCATCGTAATGCAGAAGTACCAGTTCAGTAAAGAGAGCCTTTTGTTGATCTAACTCAGGAGTCAGCAAGCTATAGCCCAATAAAATTTTACTGAAATACAACCACATTCACTTACAGACTGCCCATGGCTGTTTTCATGCTACAATGGCAGAGTTGAGTAGCTGTGATAAAGACCTCATGGACTGTAAAAAGCCTAAAATATTCACTCTCTGGCTATTTACAGAAAAACAACAACAACAACAAAAATACAACGTGTGACCTAGAATATTCCCTGCCTTGGCTACCATGGATCTACTATGTGAAAGAGGTTCCTGGATGTTTTCTTCAGAAGTTGCTGAGTCTTTGTGGCTGAATAAAACTCCATTGTGTATGTATACCACATTTTCTTCATCCATTCATCCACTGATAAATACCTAGGCTAGTTCCATAGTTGGCTACTATGAATTATTCTGCTATAGACATGGGTATGCATGTAACACTAAAGTATGATGACTTTAATTCTTTAGGATAAATACCAAGGAGTTACATAGCTGGGTCATATGGCAGTTCCTCTCCTAGTCTTTTGAGGAGCTGCCATACTGACTTCCATAGTGGTTGTACTTATTTACAATCCCACCAACACAGTTGCTTTCTTGCACCCACAAAGCAACAGTCACCCCTGTAGTGACAGGGTCTTTGCTGCTCTAAGAGAGAGCAAGAGGAGAGAGAGAGCAAAGGCTGGTTGGAGCACGTCAACAATTCCCCATGACGAAGGTAATATTCTCACCATTCTGCTCAGTGAGAGCCTCTTAGTACTCTAGTTAAACAGTAGCAAAAGTACAATGGATACTGATCAGTAACCCTTTCATACAAATCTCCGGAACTTCTTTCTGAAATGGGTCAGACTGACTGATAGAATGAAAAACTCCCACAGTCCTTTGCAGATCAAGTTCAGAATGATGCTTCCACTTGTCCCTGTCCTTTTCATCTCACAAAAAAAAAAAAACTACTTAGGCCATTAACAGTCAACACTTCTATCCACACCTAATTGTCTGCATAGCGTTAGGGTCATCATAATTTGGGGCTTAACAATTTCATTAATAATGGTGTAAGAAATGTATTGCTGGCACCTTTCTTTCTCTGATATATTGAAACACAATGCGTTCCTTATTCTGTCAGGAATTATGTGGATCACCTCAGATATGAGAGCTTGGTTGATGCAAAGTAGTGCCTGATTCCGCCGTTGCTTTTATATTTCAGGTCCTACCCCCCACCACAGGGAATGTCCCCATGTTTGGCTGGATTTTCCCATGCATCTAGCAACGGAACATAGGTAAACTGGGGCTCCTCTTGGTCCTTCTCTGCAAGCATCCCTGAGACACTGTCATATTCAGATATCTCAAGGGTCCCCTTTCAATGTTGGGTGGAGGTGACATCATGAGTTAAAACAGATCTTCACCATCATTGCTCCAGAAGTTGCCTCTGAACAACTACACCACTCTGCATATTCATTTCTAATACTGTGATGGTCTCTGAGCTCCAGGGTGGTTCTCTTCCTCATCCTTGACCTCCATGGAACTGTTGATCCCAGCTTCCTGAGAGGAGCTGCGCCACCCCTTTCTGAAGACAAACTATCTTTAGAATACCTTATGTCTTGATCCTGCTCCTCAGAATCCCAATATGACTCCTTTGTTCAAAAAAAAAAAAGATGAACAGGATTATGTTGTTATATTGTGTGCATGTATGATTGTGTGACAATGAATCCCACCATTATGTACAACTATTATGCACCAGTAAAAGATTTGGAAAAAAATTAAATAGAAGCCAGGCAAAGGGATTTTGGATAGAGGTGGGATTTTAGGCAAAAGAGTAGTGTATACATTGGCCTAGAGGCCTAAAAGAGAGTTGTGGGATGAAAAAGTGGTATATCTCTGTCTTCCCTAATAGATGGGGTATGCAGCTATACCTCTAGTGCCCAGGACTTCGAGGTCTGCCAAGAGCCTAGCATCATGGGTGACAGTTGTCCTCTTGGCCTGGGTTGGGCTTCCCATTAGCTGAGAGATAGTTGCTGATGAGTTTTGTTATCATAAGGTAGGGAGACAGATCTTGACATGCCTTTCTGTCACCTTTCTAGGTGCTCAGGGTACTACTGGCTCATAGCAGTGAGGGGATAGTCTGCTTTAGCTAGAGGCCACCGAGCATTGGCAAAGTTCACTATGCTGTCCGGGGCCTGATACCATTCTTCCACAATCATGATTAACAGCTGGTTGAGAATGGTGACTTTTACTTGTCCCTACGTAACTTTAACTGGGAGAAGCACGAAGAAGATTGAAGACCCCTGTCCTAGTTCTCAGGAAGAGAAAACACCTAAAATAGTTAATCTGGGGTTTGTGCTTGGCTTTATGGTTTTCATGAGGTTTGTTCAACTGATGCCAGCAACATCTGGAACCGGGAGCGCGTCTGAACACATTGCAATAAAAGGAGGCTCACTTGGCTGGGTTTCCCTGCAGGAAGAGATCCAGGAGGCAGAATGGTGGAGAGGGTGCAAGAACATCAGAGGCAGGGGACATGTGGTTTCCACCTAAGGCAGGAGTAGCCCCGCTACCTAGTTAAGGCCAGCAAGGAGGGAATCACCACCCAGGAGCAGGTCTGCCCTGTCGTCTGCCTACCCAGCCAATTCTTCTTTCCTGCAGCCTGCCTACCCTTTTGCTTCTAATGCTCTTAGAACTCTTCTGCCCTAAAAGTCCTTCAGCAATATTCCATCCACACTGAGCCAGTACGTTGACCCTAAACCTATTCCTCAAGCCTTCTCCAGTCAAAGTATTTCTGGCTACCGTTATATTCAAAAGAAAAGCCCCAGCATGCAGAGAGACAAAGGCAGGCGGGAGTCCTGTCAAAGTGGGATCAGTTTTAAAACAATGGGATAAGGGTGACTTTTCCTGCCATAAAAAAATTCCTTTACAGTTATTATGATCATGTTTTGTTAATAAAAGTAATGTTGTTTTTATTTCCCTCTCTTTCCTTCCAGATTTTTTTAGTCTACCATATTGCCAATCTTTGATAAATTAGGTCAGGGTTATGAGCTAATTGCTTAAAGCTCACTGCCCAGAAGCAACTGTCCTTTTAAGATGGATGCCTGGAGTCCACTAATACCCAAATAAGGTGTTTCAGCTGCGGGGGTGTCTTGGTAGTGGCTGAACATTCTTGTGAGGAGTAGGTGTGGAATTCCTGAACCTTAACAGCTGGTAGAGATCTCCAGGGCCTTCTGCTAAAATCTTCCACCCAGTGCTGGAATTCTCTCTGCAACACCCAGAAGGGCTCGATCACTTCCAGTTATGGGAACTCACTGCTGAGAGAGGCAGGCTACTCAGCTGTTGGATGTTTTTGATGTTTAGAAAGTTTGCTTCTTTTTCCCTGAAAGAAAAATCTGCCTTCCAGAAGATTCCTTTTACCAAACCAAGTTAGGCCCTGTAGAGATACCCTAAATAAGTCCAGCCCCTTTCCTAAGTGACAGGAGGTTGCTGGTTGTTCCCTTTTAGAAATGCCGCAGCCCTGAACGTTCTTTTCCTTGTCTCCCGCACAGGAAAGCAAGAGTTCCCATACCTGGGCGTGGAATGGTCAGACCACAGGATAAATGAGTTCAGGCTAATGAGAGGAGCCAGGCGGTTCTTCAGAGTGCTTGTATCGTTCGGCACTCCCACGGCCCGTGGCTTGTGTTTCTCCTTACTTTTTAATGCCTTTTGAAGAAGAGAAGTTTTTAACTTTAATCTTTACTTTTATGGGTAAAGACGTGTTTTGTCTTAAGACATTATCTTCTTATCCCAAGATTAGAAAGGCTTTCTCCATATGTTATTGATTATTTTTAAAGTCTCAACTTCACATTTCATTTCATAATACACCTAGAATTGATTTTATGAATGAAGTAGATATTTCAATGTAAATAATCAATTTTTCCAGATTATTTGTTGAATAGTCGTTTCTTTCCCTAAGTGATTTGTGAAGCCATCTATGTCATGTATCAAATTTCCATGCATACACACACACACACACACACACACACACACACACACAGAGATAGATAGATTACTAGATAAAAACAGAGAACCCAGAAATCAATCTAACTATTTTCAAAGCTTTATAAATCATTTTTCCCCTGGTACTGGGGATTGAACCCAGGAGTGCTTCTACCACTGAGCCACATTCTCAGTCCTTTTTTTTTTTTTTTACTTTGAGACAGGGTCTTGCTGACTTGCTGAGGCTGGCCTCAAACTTGCAATCAAATCACTGGAATTACAGGCAGGCACCACCACATCTGGCAGCTTTATAAGCCTTGATAATGGGTCGAACAAGGATTCAGATACACTTTTCTTAGATCTTATTCCTTCCATCTTATACATAGTTGCTAGAATTAGCCTGATGAGTTCTAAACCAGTAAAAGTGTGGTTGAAACTGCCTGGAATCAATTAACTTGAAGATCCTTGACATATTTATGATGTTGAATCTTTCTATTCATGAACTAAGAGAATCTCTCCATTTCTTTCCTTTCTTCCAATATAATCTTAAAAAGTTCTCCATGTAAGTCTTATACATCATTTGTAGTCTTAAGCATCTCATTTTTTTTGTTATTACAAATTATTTCCTGTCATAAAATTGTTTTGCTTCTTATTGGCACATAAACAACTATATCTATCATCTTGCTTTTTTTAGCCAGTCAGCTTGCTAAACTCTAGTATTGTTCTTATTCTTTTGTTTAGATTTTTCGATATATTCAAATCTATTACCTAGAATTATCTATTCTTATTTTCTGGTTGCTTTTTGTTGTTTTGCCAAGTGGCTAGAATCTTCAACACATGGTTGAATGAAAGCTTTCACAGTGGACATCTTTATCTTTTTTCTAATTTTAATGATTCTAAGATCCATATTAAGAATGATTCCTGAGGAGCTGAGGTTGTGGCTCAGTGAGAGAGTGCTTACCTAGCACATGGGGAGGCATTGGGTTCCATCCTCAACTCCACATAAAAATAAATAAAATAAAGTTTTAAAACAACAACAAAAAGAATGATGCCTGATATAAATTTTGGGTAGATTACAATAAGAATATTTCCTTTTATTCTTGTAATTTTAAAAGAATTTTTGTCATGAAGTGGGTGAAGAACTCTATAAAAATCTATTATTTTAACAAATAGATTGATTGGTGTGTAATTTAAATAAATTCACATTTTAGATTGTACAGTTCAGTAATTTTGACAAACGTACATTTGATGTACCTCTATTATAAGCATACAGAGGTTATTATTATCACCCTAAAAATTCCCTCAGGCCCCTTTGCAGTCGATCCTTTTGTGTTTCTTTTCTTATACAATACGATATTTTGTTTGCTAATG